TCATGCTGGTATTTAAAAAACTAAACAGCTTATAATACCAACTTAACATGGTAAAAGGAAGAAATAAACTTTACTAATGTTTTATTCTAAGGGACTTGGGAATCAAGAAAATGATGTTGAAATTATAAATGATGTATTTATAAAACATGTAAAATCCTTAAGTAGTGTATCAGCATCACTTTATTCAAAGTAATATTCCATCACTTGTTTACCTATACATTTGTTATATATATATTTTACATACATATAAATATGTGTACATTTATATATAAAATATGCCTTCATTAATTGAAGGAAAAGAAGAATATGCAAATTATCTTACAAGGACGAACATAATTTTTAATAGCAAATTGGGTGCCAACCCTGAGAAATTGTTAAGTAATATATTTAAAACTTCACATCTAAGACACATGATAATCAGAATCACAAAGAACTAAAGGCTGACCAGAATCAGATACCCATTCATGCTCCTAAGAAAGGCTACAGTTATCTTTTTTATTTATAAAATACAGTTTTAAAATAAACTTTCTTTGTAATTCATCCTAGAAAAAAAATGTGGTTTAACTTAAATTTTTCTTTGTTTATAAACTGATGCAAAATATTCACTGGACTGATTGCAAAACGCAGGTAAGGATGATAGTACACAGTTATTATAATAATTTATGTGTAAAATAGGGAATGTTTAATGAGAGTCCCCATCCAATCCACTCCTCAAGAACAAACAAACAAAATGGATACTAGAACAACTCTTTAGTACATAAAGAAGATGGTTTGGTGATAACACACTAATATATCAGGACCAGAATACCTGGTGTCATTATTGTGATTCAACAGCTTTCCAGTTGCTGAATGGTCTCTACCATGTAGCAGCAATAAAGGTAACATGCAGTCAAGGAGAAGTTAGTGCGATTCTACTTTGTTTTAGACAACTCTAAGGGGAAATGGCTCAATGGGTATGAAATCCCGAGCAGCTATAATGTGTCTGGTGTGAGGCATTCATGACAGACCTCTATGCAGGAAGAATAACCATTCACTAAAGACTTGCGGTTCATATTAGTTTTATCATTACAAAGCTAAGAAACCATTGTGGTCAGCTGCGGCAGAGGTTCTGTTTCAGAGCAGAGGGTTTGCAATCAGTGGGACCACTGCCTCTAGGACACTGAGTGTGCTAGTATGAAAGTTCACCCATGGCAAGAATGAAAAAAATAACAAAAGTATGGGAGATGATCCAGGGGCTTGGAGGGGCACTTGCCCCTGAGCAAATGCCACAGAACTTTTAAGTCTGCTAAGAGGCACACTTTCTTTCTTTAGGCTTTCATTTATCTGATTCTCAGATAAGATTGATGGATTGCTGCCCTGGTACAAAGTGTTGGGGGGGTTCATGGAGGTTGGGATGTCACTTAGCAGTATACAACGATAATTCAAAACATTCTGCAAGGCTTAAAAGCATAATCGCTTGTCAAATTTTCACTCATCAAATCTTGCCCTTCCTTAGGCAGTTATTAGGTATAGACTAGATGTGTCTGCAAGTCAGGAGAGTTGGGTATATGGGATCTAGACAAGAGACAGGTGAAGAAATGGCCAGTCAGCTGAGAAAGCAAACTTAAACCACAAAAGAACCAAAGCTTGTTCAGATTGCATATCAATAATTTCTCCAGAAAGCAATCTTTAAAATTAAAATCACCAAGTTACATGTATTAATAAATGCAAGACCCCACCTTCAAGCACTCTCGTTTCTCTCTGCCCGGCATCTCAAAGGTGGTAAGGTTTAGAATATCTCCTATGCCATTTCTTCATGTATCTCCATTATCTACAGCTCAGTTCAGGTCCCTATAGGGGTCTCGCAAACAAAGGCTCAACAGATCCAAGGATAGCTGACAACAGCACACCAAAGCCCTTGTTTACCATTTACCAAACTCTTTCAAAGGTCATTTCAAAATCTACTGAATTTAATTTAATGGCAGCTTAACCGGTGATAACTTGACCTACATCTCTCAGTTGTGGTGTCTCCTCAGGATCACTGTAAATCTCTGACTGAGTCTAATCCTTGGGGCAGGGCTTTCTTAGCAAAAAGAACATACGGTACATTTTGTAGATCCTTGTGGTTCTTTGCCTCACAAAAATGTTAATGACTCTGATACACATTTTTTAGATATACAGTGCAAGTGTTGGTGAATCTTTATTAGTTAAACTGCAGTGACTCATACTCCAGTATTTATTGAAAAACTATAATATGCTCTCTGGGGCCGGGTGCCATAAAAATTTTGTGATTTTTTAAAATCTTTCATATTTCATTTAATTCCCACAACTCTTTGGGTTATATAACCAGATAACCCATGTGATCAGTAAATCAGATAACCTTTATTGGTGGCATATATATATATATATATATATTAGCTTTCACGTTTTGTTCTGTAGCAGAATAATCGAGTATGTATACACATTTAAATTAATATAATGCAAAGAGTATAATTTATAATACAAATGCACTTAAACTTTATTTTCATCACAGATTAGGGATGAATAAAACCTTTGCTCTCATAAAACCAGTGTCATGTTTTCTACTAAAATTTAATCATTCCATACTTAAATCTTAACAACCTTAGGCAAGATAAAACTGAAACTGTACATCATATCACTTTGTAAAAATGTAGCCAAGGATCCCAAGGCCATATTCAGTTAAAAGAAAATTTTAACATTATAAATTCTGTGAAGGAGGATACTGAACAATTATGTTAAATAGATTCTTAGTGGCTTTATTCAATTACAGTATCAAAATGTTGCTTATCAGGCCAGGTTTATACCTGTAATCCCAGCCACTCAGGAGGCAGAGGCAGGAGGACCTCAAGTTCAAAAGCAGCCTTAGAAAATTAGCAAGGCTGTAAGCAACTTAGTGAGAACTTGCCTCAAAAAATAAAAAGGGCTAGTGATATGACTTAGTGGTAAAGCAACCTGAGTTGAATCTCTGGTACAAAAAAAAAAAAAAAGTATTACTTATTAGGCTGGGGATGTGGTTCAGTGGAAGAGTGTCTGCCTACCATGCACAAGGACCTGTGTTCAATCCCCAGACACATACACACAAACACAAACACACACACACACACACACACACACACACACACACACACACACATGAAAAAACAAAGAATATGTACTACTCATCAATACTGTTTTTAAAATAATCTATTCTTAATAATTTTCATTTTTAGGTAAAATTATTAAATTTTATTACATTTAAATTTCAAAATATTAAATTATTAAATTAAGAAAATTCCTGGAAAGTAACAAAGAAAATGATAAAGAATCTATGATAGCAAAAAGAATTTTAGCATGGCATGATCTTGATATCTTAATAATCTAAAAAGAAAATGAATCAAAATTCATAGCATTAATTTATAATATTTCAGAGCTATTTCCTTTATCAGCAATAATATATAATAAAGGATTCTATTCATAATAAATAAAAAAATTATGTTTCTCAAACTCCAGTTTGTTTTCATTATTTATTCTTAGTTCTTTGCTCGATGAATATGTAAAATTCCACTGTGGGCAATCAAAATGAGAAATTGTAGCTTAACAATGTAAGACACAAACTCAAATATTGATTCCATATTTTCTAATTTGACTCATGAGTCACTAGCACATGTTAAGTGTTTTTATACCTAGTAAGAGTATACATTGTAATAAAAGCAGCCTATACTTTGTTGTGTTCTCAGTGTGCCTACTAATATATTAAATATTCTGTCAAAACCATTAAAGATATCAAGTTTTTAGATTCTTTTAAATTGTGATATTACTGATAATTATTAAAAGGTACACTACAATATTAATATATCTTTATAGGGATGTCTGGATAGCTTATTTAGGCACAGGATACAAATAAAAAATTTCCAACGTTTTTGTTGTAGTGCATCAAACACATACAAATATTTAAAATCCTACACAAAATACAAGAGCATTGCAATTATTATACAATGCACAATTATAATTAGACAAAATATCAGAAATATTTCTTAAATATTTCACTAATTCTAGTGAGAATTTTTTAAATTCCTTTTTTGGGGGAAACAATGGGGCATAAATATTATTTTAACACAATAAATCTTAAGTAGGAAAGCAGGGATAATTACATTTAAAAATATATTTCATTTTTGCATTGATCTGAAAAAAAATTAATATTTAATAAATTTGCTTTTCTCTAAGAAAAGACCAAAAGAAGCAGATCATATTTATAAACAACAAACTAAAAATTAAACTTTTTGGTTGGTACAGAAAGAAATGATAATGCTTTAATGTAAAAAAAAAAAAAGTACAAAATCACATAAAAGCATGGAATTTTAAGGCAAACACAACTATTTAGTGCTATTAATCTCAAATAGTGCTGGTTTTCTAGCTCTACAATATACTGGTTCCAAAGTCAATACATGGATTTGAAAATAAGAGCACCAGAGTACCTAGTATCCTTCAAAAATTAAAACTTTAACATAAGAATATTTAGTTAAATGCCATATAACAAGTCATGAAAAATGCCAGAAAAACTAAAATTATATTTTATTATTTAATATGACTTAAACTAGAAATTAACTCAAAAAGACATTACAGAGAAAAAATTTTACGGTGATTTCCAAGTGAGTAATGTATAATGCAAATTTCTCTATTTTTCTGAACAGAAAATCCCTACGTACTTTCCAACAATGTTGAAATACCAGTCAATGAGCTGGGAGGTGAGGGCAGAGCTGGAGGGTGAGGGGCAGACTATAATTCTATAAATGCAAAAACAAATATTAAATTACAATGATAAGGCATTTTAACACTGCTAATGTGCTATAGTGGCAATATTTAAGTTATCTGTGATAAAGACAGTGACATTTAACGGAGGGAAGTCCAAGCTGGGGAAAGGATTTTTGGTTTTGGTTGTCTGATTCTCATATTTAAAAGGAGAAATCAAGTAAACAAAGAGCTGACTCATTTAAATAAGGGGATCTTAAAGTGGCACTTACTGGCATAACAATGTTGTAGTGGATGCAGAATCCGGGTTCAGAAGGAAAATACTCATCAGATACAAATCTTATTCTGATTTGATTTCCTTTGGAAATCTGTTTTCCTGGTACAGGACCAGAACCACACCAGCGCCCTAATACAGTTCCATCACTGGGTTCCTCAACTTCTACAAAATCATACCTGTAAAGAGACAAAGGTAGAAGGAACTGAAAATCATGTTTTCTTATTTTGATAAATCATATTCTGTGTCTATAGATTCAATGACTTTATTGACCTTAGAAATGAGTTATAATTAAATGAGATATAATTAAATATTTTAAAGAGGATATACACTGAAAATGAGATCCAAATTGAAGAACCGAGTCTTCTTTTCAAAGTCTTCCAGTTTTGCTATTAACAAATTCCAAAGTTAGTAGTTATTGTAAACTTATATTTTTGTAGGAACTACATTTGACATTTGATTCCTAAATTATTCAATTTAATTTCCATTTGGATAGGATGATCTTACTCCAGTCTTAGTTCCTATTATTGTTGCCCTTTGGTTCCTAGCAATAACTCTTCCATTTGTACCACACTCCTTGCCTTTGTTTCCTCATCTGAGATGTCAACTTTTCTAACGCCACTCCAGTATACCTGCTTCATATGCACTTTGAACACTACCTCCTCTGCATGATCTTCCTGGGTCTTCTCAGATCACATATATTTTGATAAACACAGATTTTTAATATTAAATATCTACTTAGGCTATTAAATCCTTAAACAAAGGAATCAATTCTTATATATTTCTGTTTTACTTGGCACTAGTAAGAAATGATTATTTCTTCTAAACAAATGGCAACTTTGATTTGGAAGAGATAGTTAGAACAATACTACCCCATGAGAGAGAACCTCAAAAATCAATAGGAACTTTTAAGTTTTCTCAATGACTGGGGGTAAAAAAGGGAAAGAAGAAAAGAAAAGGGAACAAAATCAAAAAATCCTAAAAACAAAAAAACCTGAAGAAAAAAAATGCCCCAAGGTCCCAAAAACCAAAAAAATATCACACGAGATATCACAGAGACAAAAAGTTTGCGATAACACACATCAGAGTGGAAAACAAAACATACCACATATAAAAACACATATATTATATACACTTTAGAGTAAAAAAAAAATTCTAGAAAAAGAAAAAAAAAAGTCAAAAAAAAGGAGAAAAAAGAATTGCACATTGCGCGGAAAACTACAAAAAGAGAGAGACAAAACTGGAAAAACACATCACAAAAAGAAAAACAACACATAACATATCCACAACAAAAAAAACAAAGACAAATATATCTCTTATTTTTATTTTTAATTTTTTTTTTTTGGTACCAGGGAATGAAACTATGGGTGCTTAACCACTGAACTTAATCCCCTGCCCCTTTTAAAAATATTTTATTTAGAGACAGGATCTGTCTGAGTTGCTTAGGACCTCCCTAAGTTGCTGAAGCTGGCTTTGAACTCACCATCCTCCTGCCTCAGCCTTCTGAGCTGCTATGATTACAGGTGTCTACCACTGTTCCCAGTTAAATCTATTATTAATCTATATCTACAGCTGTCAAAATTTAAAATAAGTCTACTTAAAAGATGCAAACATCTGACCATTTATTTTATTTTCTTGTGTAACTATTAAAATGTATGTGTGTATTAGAATACATGTTTCAGTATAAATTATTTTGCTATTATTTCATGTTTATATAATACTCAGGACATTATATTTATTTATTTATTTATGGTTTTTCAGTTGTTGATAAACCTTTTTTGTTTTAAATTTATATGTGGTTCTGAGAATGAACCCAGTGCTTCACATATGCTAGGCAAGTGCACTACCACTGACCCCCAGCCCCAGCTCCAACATTATATTTATTTTTCAAAGAACTGCACATACAAATAGATGATGGTATCTATGAATTGCATTTCAGAATACTAAACAGGAGAGTCCAGAAATTCTGTTAAAAGGGAAGTCTGACATTAATTTAAAATGACTGAGGGTTTTTTTTTTTTTTAGTATAGTTTAAATTCAGGAGACACCAGATAACCAAAACTAATGTATTTTAAATAGCATTGAATTCAAAGAAGAAAAGAAATTGTTGAAAACAAACAGAATATACAACAAACCAATTACAGCTATAAATCTTCCTCCTCAGAAATTATCCAGAACTCTCTTATGACAAGTAAATTAACCTTACTTTCCACATCAGTAAATTGAGGACAGTGCTATTCAACTCACAGTACTTTCATGGTTTTGAAAACATTGTTGGCACCAAGTTACCAGTCAATAAAGTTATATCCATTCCTAGTCTGCATCCTTCTTACTCCCCTGACACTTCTTTTAAGAAAACTCAAAAATAAAGAAGAGGGAATGTTTGTGCTCTATCATGACAAGTCCAGGGTCATACATTACAAATGCATAAGTCATTCTTTACACCCACTGCAGCAGTTTGGGTGTGAGGGTGTGGGAGAGGTGAAGAGGTGGAGAGGGAGGAGTACAGGGAGTTGAGTGAAACAGATCTAAAAATATTTCAAGTGTAAATAGTTCAAAATTTGGTAATTATCATTTTCAACAAAAGGAAATTTTTCACACCAAGACTGTCCACCTGGGAAACAAAGCTTCTGTTCAAGACTATCTGTTTGTTGAGAGGTAAATCTGACTCAGGTTTCCACTATTTCTATAGGTGTTTATGAAGCATTGTTTAGGTATAAAATATTGAGCTGAGATTCTCAGGATACAAAGATGAAACCGCAGCTTCACTGGGTTCTGGGTCCACAAACCACATTGATAAGAACTCTACTGAAGGATACTGAGGAATACTGGAAGAGTAAGAGTAACTTTATACAATGAAATTGGGGTCAATTTACTAAGGCCTTGACATCTGGGCTGTCAAAGAATATTGACTGACCAAGGGTTGCAAGGGAGGGAAATGGAAATGCATTTTAGCAAGAAGTCTAATACCTAAGATGTAATATAAGAACAGAGGCTCCAAGCATGGTCAGTCATGAATAGAGGGTGGGAAACAAAGAAGAGGATGGAGATCATGCTGTGAAAACAGGCATAGGTGAGCAGGCCTTGGTATTTTGGAGTAAGATTTTAGGAACTTCCTTTTTTAAATCAATCTAACAAAAGAGGGAACACAGTTTTAATAGGCCCTATGTTTCTCTAAAAAAACAAAACAAAACAAAACAAAACAAAACAAAATAAGGAGATTAAAAAGTAGCGCTGAACAGAAAATCTGGATCTCTGACTTTTTTTTTCTTATTTGATGATCTGGTACGATTGAGTATCTAGACACTGTCTCAAAAATAAAAATAAAAAAGGCTGAGGATATAGCACAATGATAAAGCACCTCTGGGTTCAATCCCCAATAACAAAACAAAACAAGAGAAAAAGAAAAGAAAAGAAAAAGTGAGCATCTTTAGCTTTAGTGTGACTCCATGAGGGTCCATTTCCAAAGCTGGTGTCGGCTCCAGGAGAGTTGTCTTCTCCCTAGTACCTATATCTCAGGCACTTAGTAAACATGGTATCAGTATTTGGACAGGCACGTGGCTCTCATATCAACTGAAGCCAACACTAAGAGGAACAGTTCTGGATGAGCCATGTTCTTTTCAGTTTTAGAAATCCTCATCTACTTCCTATAATTTAAAAGCTAAATAAACAAAACAAAACAAAACAAAACAAAAACAATAGATCTCTTCATCTATTTAATCTATTTACATTACTCAGTCCTGTAAGCATTTGATTTTTGCCAACCTTATAGATTTCAACCGGTGGAAGTAAAAGAATCACCATGTACTTGAGGAATACCAAGAAACATTTCAAGTGTGAGTCAAAAGGAAAGATCTTTTTAACAAAAGCATCCTTAAAAGGAACAGTCAAGGAAAAAAGGGAAAACCATAGTGAGAAATGGCACAGATGTGATGAAAGGAGAAAGGGGACAATTTCCTCCAGAAGCAAAAGCAGTCTATAGAGCCATGCACCAAAGAAAGACCAGAAAAGATAAAAATCAGAAAGTATCCATTATAAAGTTATTTTCAACAAACACCATGGGTAGAACACTTGGGTCAAAAAGATTGTTTTTTTTTTTATTTTTCATTTGCTATTGGGGATTAAATCCAGGGGCACTTAACACTGAGCTGCATCCTCAGATCTTTATTTTTTTAATTTTAAATTTTGAGACAGGATCTTGCTAAGTTGCTCAGGCTAGCTTTGAACTTGCAATCCTCCTGCCTCAGCCTCCTGCCACTGGAATTTCAGGCATCTGCCATCCCCCACCTGTATCAAAATTTTTCTTGAGAACATTTTCAAAAATAACTATTATAATCTTTTGAATATAGAAAGCATCCCATGAGAAAAGAATATCACTCTCAGGAAACCTAAAATTAGCAATTTTCATAGCTATTTTACTATACATAACTTTCTTGTTATTTCTGTTAAAAAAAAAAAAGAGGCACCATATGTGCTTGTCTGATTTGTAACTTCTTTGGAAGTATTTAAAAAGGTATTTTTACTACATAAGGATATGTCTGAATTGTAAAGGTTAAGAATTTATTAAACAACAAATAAGTCTTTTATTTGTTGGGCTGAGGGCTGAGGGCTGAGGGTATGGCTCAGTGGTACATCATTAGCTTAGCCTGTGCAATGCCCTGGGTTTGTTACCCAGCACTGCAAAAGAAAAATATCATGGGCTGAATAACCTATATGTTGATGCAAAACCACTGTCCTGCAAATAAGAGAGGAGTAATGAATCTGTTATTACTTACTTTATGAAGATTTTCTGCTGAATATGATGCCATTTAAAAACAACTTTTATAACAATTTCTGGATTTACAGCTACATAGTGGGCAATTAATTCTTACGTGCTCATGCAAGTCTGGCACATACATTTATCATAGCACTTTAAAAATACTGCATAGATTTGTGTTTCATGAAGGTTAAATGAAATGCACATCTAAAAAAGTACCATATTATTTGCTTACAAAACAGTAGAACTTAGCATATGTTAGTGTTTCACAGTAAATTAGGCATTTTAAGCTGTATTCAGAACTCATGTCATAAAAATATAGTTCTAAAATTCCTCCAATTATTCTAATATTAATTTTTATGGCCATATCCAACAATTGTTAAGCTATCTACATAATTTTATTTGTTTGTTTGTTTGTTTGTT